TCAATCCTTACCACCTTTTTGATAAGTGAACCAGTGGGGAAACAAACCTGGGCTGAACTAAAGTTTAGCCTCCAGGACTGAGCAGACTGATATATTTAGGCTGAAAAGTAGCACTGATAAGGAAATAATGTGTTGGTTGCAAAAAGCTGCAAAGAAGAAATGCCTAGGGCACAGGCACTGATGGAAGTTTAGAAAAAGAAGAACTAAACCATTAAAAAAAGCCAGCTAGCAAGTCAGTAAAGTATCAATAAAGCCCATCTCTTTAAATTAATCTTTGCTGAAACCCCCACCCAATTATTATATTTCTGTCCAGGCATATGTGCAATTATTTTTACCAAACCATTTGAAAGTAAGTTGCAAGCATCATGACATTCCACAACATCTGTGTTTCATAATAACAGGCTATCCTGCATATCCACGATACTTTTCTTTTTTAAAAAAATTATTTTAAAGGCAGAGTTACAGAGAGAGGGGAGACAGAGAGGGAGTGCCTGTCTTCTGGCTTTGGCCTGACTCAGCCCTAGGCACAACAATCACTTAAGGAGTAAAAAGTGGACAGAAAAACAATCTCTTTCTCTCTCCCCTTCTGTCTTTCAAATACATAAAATAGAGCTTTAGAACAAAAAACAATTATAAATTTAGGAGCAGACATTTTAAGTTTATTTTGACACAAAAAGGAAATTGAAAATGATGCATGTGGAGGGTCTTCAAAAACCATATGAAAAATGTATATTATGGAAAACCATTCATGGATTTCAAAAGCATTTTATATCTAATCAAGCCAATCTTTTCATCTTATTTTGCCATCAATTTTTGAAGTCCCCCAGCAGAAGGTCGACATAAAGGGCCCGACACTAGCCTTCTTCTAGTTGCGCAGTCACCAAACTGAGTGGGTGGGGCTGGGTGTGTGTGTGGAAATAATCGGTAACAGAAATTCAAAGTAGGTCTAGGATGACCATGGCAAAGATTTGCTTAAGCTGTGCCTAAGGAACCCATGAACTTGCAAGCCTTGAAAAGCAGCTATGGGCTCTACATGACACTGGGGTTCTGGAGTAGCAACAACTGAGGCAGGTGCTGGAGAGGTGAGCCTGAGGTCAGGCTCATTGGTTGATGTACACTAGATTAGAGCATCAGTAAGCCCTCCTGGCCGCTTCCCTAGAGCTCAGAGGAACTGAGAAAGAGTCAAAGAACCAAAGAGAATCCCTAAGTTCAGATGGAGAGGGTGCCAAGTGTGTCAGAAAGAGCTGACTGCCTACCCAACATGCATGTTCTCATCTCCATACTGAGAGGTGACATTCTGGCTACAGGCTGTATTTCCCAGCCTTGCAAGCATGTGCACCATGTGTCAAGTTCTTGCAAGTGGAATGTTACCAGAAATGATCAAGATGTCAGAGGGCAGGGCCAGGCTTGTGTGGGAGTGGGATGGGCCACTCCCTGGGATGATGGATCCCATCTAGACACCAGTTCAAGTTCTGGCTATTCCACTTCTCACCTAGCTCCCTTTCAACATGCCCTGAAAATTAGTGGAGGGTGTCCCAAGTCCTTGGGCCCCAGCACTCATGTGGGAAACCTGGACGAAGCCTCTGCCTCTTGGCTGTGGACTGACATAGCCTGGGCTGTTGCGGGCATTTGGGGAGTGAACCAGTGATTAGAAAATCGCTTTCTCCTATCTCTGTAACTGCGTCTTTAAAATAAACAAATTTTAAAAATGCCCAAGGAGCTGACCCCCATACTCTTTCCCCTTCTGTGGCTGAAAGAGAAGACTTCAAAGTGATAGCATCATGGTTCTGGCCTACAGTATTAACAATTTTAGAGAATTACAGAGGGTACCTAAGGATATATTACATATTTATGGGGAATAGTAATAGCAGAACATATAATAATAATGAATGGAAAGGGTTCATTGGGATACTGTAAATTCTTACAGAATGTATATTAAATGTATATTAAACAAAAAGACTGTTATTAAATAGTTTGTTCCTCGCTACTTAATAAAAATAGATGTTATATATTTCCTTTGGTAAATGGCTCTGAAAATTTATTCTTGAGACTTGAAGGTAGTATAAACCATGAGAGTTTGGGAACCTCTGCTTTAGGGGATGGTGGAGACAGAAGATGAAAGAACAGCGATTTCCTAAATTTCTGTATGGAGGAAAGCCACCTTCCAATTAATAACTCGTACTGAGCTTGATCACAAGGCTAAAGATACGGCTTTGTTGCATTAATCCATTGACTTGTTAAAGTTTGTCACTGAAGCTAGCATTACCCTGTCAAATATACAGAATATGCAAAAAAAAAAAAAAATCAAAACGTGAGGTAAAGGAGTTACTGCAGACACCGGCACCGGACTCCTGGAGATCACTGGAGACACATCACATCTTAGGGAGAGCCACCAGGCCAAGAGCGTATCCCCTGGCCCAACCCCCGAAACGCAGCCCAACCTCAAGGAAAAAGACACAGAGAAACAAAAGGGGCTTAGGATTTGACCCTCAAAGACATCGAGCAGCCTTAAATTTGACATTAAAAAAAATTTTTTTTTTTAAACAAGGGACTATATATTTTAACCAGAGACCTGCAATGCTGCATCCATTATCAGAATGCATGGGTTGCCACAGCAGCCCCTGTTCCATTCCAGCTCTCTGCGAACAGGTGCTCTAGGGGGAGCAGGTGACGGCTCAGGTAGCACCCTCATGGGACACCTGGGTTGGCTTCCCGGCTCTTGGTTTTAGCCTGGTCCAGCAGCCCCAGCTATGGCAGGCATCTGGGGCGTGGGGGTGAACCTGCAGATAGATCTCTGTCTCTCTTAAGAAAAATAAACACCTTCCAAAAGTTTAGTCACTGTACTTTCAAACACTAGCTAAATCATACTTTCTTGGAAAAGAAATTCACGTTTCAAGCTTTTCATTTGGACCTACCTAATTTTCAATTCACTACATTTCTGTTATAAGAAGGAAAGAATTACACCACCCCTAGAGGCCCCTGTCACTGTCGCTGCAGCTGGACACCAGCCTTAAATACTAATGGCTTTCTCTCTCTCCTTTCTGTCCAGGTTCTCCAGCTCCCAGCTGGATGCTGATTCCTCCCACTGGGATAAGGATCCTGCCTGGATGCTGCCCAGGGTAGGCTGCAGCACTGCCATCAGCCATTTTCACAGGACACAACTCTGCAGACACTCCCCTGAAGGCTGCCAGCTGCTGCCAGCCCCTGCTGTCACAGGAGTCCTTCCGTTTGGACACACAAAATTACTCCATGCTGCAATCCTAGTCTTACTGTTTTTCCCCAGAGGAACTGCTGGCATTTTCAAATTCAATTCAATGGAATCACTGGCAGTGGAAACACACCCTTGCTCAATAACACCTCCAAACCAGGGGGGTCCAACAGTCAACTTGATTTCAGAAATGGGGCTGTGGGTGGTGAGGAGCCCCAAACCGCACAAGTCCTCTGTGGAAGTGGTAAAACATTTCACAACCAGGATTTTCTTGGGTCCTCCTCAACTCAGTTTTAACATAACACTTTTGCAACTCATTTCCCTCCCAGATGTGTATATATATAAAAGATAACCATCAAATTCAGTGATTTCCAAAGAGTGGCAATTTTGCTGCCTAGAGGAATGGTTGATAAAATCTGGACACAGTGGCTGAGTGGGGGTGAGAGGGAAGTGCCAGCAGCTTCCAGTGGCTAAGAGTCAGGGGACGCCCAGGGCAACTCCACATAATCCATAATTATCTGCTCCAGAATGTTAGCTTTGATTCAAGGCATCTGTTGGCACGCACAGTGGTTCCCCCACTAGAAGGCAAGACTGTGGCAGGGGCCTGGTCTAGCTCAGCCCTCTGCTCCTGGGCCGTGAGAGCGAACAGATATTTGATGATTATAAATGGATAATTGCTTCATAGTTAACAAAGGGCATTTGGACAGTGTTTTGTCAGAACGCGGGACTTCTTGAGTGGGAAGGTTAGTAAAGCGGAGAAGGCGAACAGAGGGAAGCATGATTCCAATATTCGTGGAGGCACTACATCACCCAAGGCCCTCCTGTGGGTCTCCCCGCAACACAACCAAAAACGCTCAGGATTCCCTTCCGCGTGAATTTCCAACTTGAGGGGAAACGGACAGGCTGCATGACGTCCTCCATCCCTTCAGCGCCCACAGATACAAATGTATTTCCTCCTCACACATGAACACTTTACCTCAGCTCAGAAGAGAGGCCAGGAGAGAGGGCAGAGGCGCCTGGGTCTCTGCCCGAGTCCGGGCCGGTCCCCTCTAGACCCTGTCCCCAGCCTACCTTAAGCACAGCTCTCACAGCACCAGCGGCGACTTCTTAGGGGTGTCCTTCTTGTCTGAGTTGGGGTCTGCTCTCAACTGTGTCCGGCTCCCTGGCACCTGGAGCCTTTACTGAACAGATGCCATGCCTTTGGCTTACTTTACAACGTCACCCAGGCTCCCTCTTCTGCCTTCACAATACCCCAGTCATGGCATGATTTTTTTTGCCTACTTCACAATGTCACGTTCAACAGACCCTGCACAGCAATGGGGACCTCACAGCGGTTCAGGGAAATCTCGCTCCAGGACCGGCTCCCGCCAATGAAGACGGCAAGGAAAGAAGCCGAAGTTGCGCTGCTGGACTTGGGCTGAGCAGCCCGGGATCAACAGGCACCGCAAACCCCTGAGGCCTGAGGGAACTGGGAGGGTGTCGGCGGAAGCACCAAGTCTTGGTGTAGGTGGGGGCACGCATTTCACCGTGGCTCTGGGTGCCTCACCAGAGGTGACCACACAGGTGGGGTCGACCCAGCAGGCAAAAGCAGGTGCTGTGGATCTGAACTAATTCTTTCGACCGTGGGTCGCAAAACGGTCTGACGCGCCCGGGGAAAGCCGCGCGCCGGCCCCGGCGTTTCCCACACGTGCGCTCACAGGTCGCCCGCGGCTCAGCCCCACAGGACCCGCCTTCTGCGGGCGGGGGCCAATTGGGCGAAGGTTGTTCCTCGGGCCTCGTGAAACTTCCTCGCCCCTTAAAAGAAGCAGCAGCAGCCCCCAAAGGGCAGTTGGAATGCAAGCGTAAGGAACGTCCCGGTCTCTGAGGAGAGGCGCCCGACTGGCGCTCGGAGAGCCGCCCTAGCCGAACGCCAGCTGCCGCCGCCGGCCGCACCGCGCGCCTTCCTGCCGAGCGGAGCCATGTCCCCCTGGCTGCCGCGGCCGCTGCTGCTGCTGCTCCCGCTGCTGCTGCTGCTCCCGCTGCTGTTGGCCGCCGCGGAACCGCCGAGCGCCAAAGGTGAGCGGCGCGCGCGCCCCGCCGGCCGGAACCGGGGCGCTCGGGGGAGAGGCCGCGGGCCACCCGCCTCGTGCGCCCGAGCGCCAGCTCCAAGTCCTGCCAAGTTCTCTCGCAAGGGCAGGGAGGCAGGGGAAGGGTATCTTGGTTTGGGGTGAATGCCAAGGAGCGTGCTTAGGTGGCCGGGACTGGGCAGTTCTGCCTCAGCTTTGCCAAGCCTCGGCACCTCTGGAGGGTACGTGGTGCGCTTCTGAGAACTTAAAAAAGTTTAAGTCACCAAGTGTCGGTAGGTCATGGAGCTGCTCCAGCCCTGACTCCTGGCCCACACAGCCTCGGCTCGTCCTAAGACTTCCAACCAAAGGACATCTAAATATACATGCCCGGTATGTAGGGTGATGGGATCCCAGGCTTCCAATTGCTTTGCCCAGCTACAACTGACGGTGACTTTGGCCTCAAATCATGGTGGTAACGTGGCATTGCCAGCTTGACAGGCGCTGGGCAGTGTGCTAAAGGGCTTTATGTTTCCATTGAACCCGCACTGAACAGGATTGTTCAGGATTGTAATCCTGAACAGGATTATAATCCCCATTGTACAGATAACCCTGAGATCGGGAGGCTCTTGGTCGTTTGCCCAAATATAGTACAGTGAGTGAAGACAGCCGAGATGCCATAGGGCATTTGCATAACTCTTCTTGGTAAACAGGTTGTAGGTCCAGCCGGTGTGGATGCTCAGCCACACCTTCCCTCCCAGCCCCCAACTCCCAACCCCCAACAAATCCCTTGGATTTGTCACCTGCGTTGTCAATGTGCCCAAGATTGTGAACTCTAAGGACTTGAAAGACCACAATACCCATTTTAAAACAGGATTAACCATGACTTCATAATTCCTTGTCTTGGCCAAGAATAGAATGGGGCCTGGGGAGGGGGCCCCTTTCCCACATGTGTGTGTTGCTTCTGGTTACAGCACCTACCATCAGCAAGCCTCTGTAGTGAGGGGACAGTAAGACCTTTGCTTTACACTTTGCCCAATCATCGCTTTCCAGTCTTGAACCTTTCTAGTCCGGCCTGCCCTCCGAGGTCAGCAGAGAGACACCTGCAGCATCTTGGCCCTACTGACCCTGCACGGCTCATTCTTGGCCTTGACTATGGAGGTGCCTCCTGTTAGTGCAGAGAAAGTGCAGATGTTGACATCCCTGGACGAGACCTGAATGCATCCCAGAAAAGAAAATGGGTTTTATGTCTGCAATAGTGGTTGAAATTGTCCTTCCTTTTATGTTCTTTTGGGCTCTGAGATTACTTTTAATGCTTCCAGAGGTGAAGGAGGTGGCCAGGAGATAAGGAGGAAAGCTTGGAAAACTTGACTTTTCTGAAATTGGTGCACTGTTTGTTCAAGAAGACACTGCATTTTAAGATCCTCATATATATATATATATATATGACATTTTATTTTTTTAATATTTGTTTTTGTTAGAAAGGCAGAGTTACAGAGAAAGGAGAGACACAAGATCTTCCTCCTGTAGTTCACTGCCCCGATGGCTGCAGTGGCAGGAGCTGGACCTGTCCAAAGCCAGGAGCAAGGAACTTCTCAGACGTGGATGCAGCCGCTCAAACACCTGGGCCATGCTCTGCTGCTTTCCCAGGTGCATTAGCAGGGAGCTGGATCACAAGTGGGGTAGCTGGGACTTGAGCCGGTGCCCGGATGGGATACAGGTAGCAGCTTTACCCACTGCTCTCCAGCACCAGCCACAAGACACTGCATCGTAAGTTGAGTTTCCTATGTAGGAAATGGACTTCGTGTCTGGATTAAAAGTGAGGGTGTTTGTGCAGCGTAAAGCAGCCTGGCAGGACCATGCCCAGCAGAGTGAAAAGGCTTCCTTGCGTGGGCTCAGAGGACATCCGCCCGTGCTTACATGAGTAGCTGCAGACACATGTGATCTCTGGTGGCTCTGCTGCTGCACACTTGTGTGTTTTCCATTGTAGCATTCTGTTTACTTGTTTAAGATTTGTAATTTTGGGACCAGGTGTGGTAGCCTAGTGGCTTAAGTCCTCACCTTGCATGCACCAGGATCCCATATGGGCACTGATTCATGTACCAGTGGCCCTGCTTCCCATCCAGCTCCCTGCTTGTGGCCTGGGGAAGCAGTTGTGAATGTGCTAAAGCCTTGGCACCCTGCACCCGTATCAGAGACCCAGAAGAAGCTCCTGGCTCCTGGCTTCAGATTGGCTCAGCTCTATCCGTTGCAGTAACTTAGGGAGTGAATCATTGAACGGAAGATCTCCCTCTCTGGATATCTGACTTTCCAATAAAAATAAATAAATATTTTAAAGAAAAGGTTTGTAATTTTGCAAGGTAGAGTTAGAAATCTTCCATTCTCTGGTTTGCTCCCACAGTGGCCACAGTGGCCAAGCCTGGGCTAGGCCGCAGCTAGGAACCTGGTACTGCATCCGGATCTCTCACCTGGATAGCAGGGGCCCAAGTATTTGGGCAGTCATCTGTTGCTTTCCCAGGAACAAATTAGCGGGGAATGAACTGCAGCTTTGTTGTTGTTGTCTTAATCTTCCAGACTGCGAACTACTTGAGAGTAGGAAGCAGGCACTTTGCCATCTCCTGCTTGTCATGTGCTTTCCAAAGTTCCCAGCACAGCACTCTGAACTTAGTACGGTGCTCACTGGAGAGCTTGTGTTATAGGCTTGAGAGAGAGAGAGAATGGTGTTCGTTGATCTTCCCAGGTTGCAGAGTCTTCAGAGTGTGTCTTTAGAATGTCCCCGTACAATTTTTTTTAAAAGTATCCTGTGCAGTGAAATTGAGTTACCAGCAGTGAAAGAGGTGCTGACTCACCCGGCGGCGTGTGTATTGGTAAAACTGGTTCAGAAACTGGCTGTCTGTGGGGCTGGCCTTGAGAAATTATGCGTCTCTACTGCTCCAGATCGCGTCAGATGCAAAGCAGCTGATTCATTCTAATAGTCACGTCACCAGACTTGCTAATCGTTCATTCTTCACTAAAGATGTAACTGTCAGGTGGCGAGAATATGTACATAGCCTTCTGGAAGCGCAGCCTCACTGTTACCAAACCACCTGTCAGGCAGTCCAGAGCTGGGGGCCTGGCTCATCTCTCCCTTAGGAGGTAGGTACTGGAAACCCAAGTCAGCCAATGGGATGCCAGTGCTTGCCCGGCACAGCTGTCCCACTAGGCTGCTTTTCCCATACTTCTATGGCTCACCGATGTCTACTTGAGATTTACAAGTTACACCTTGTCTTTTTAAAAAATATATTCATTTTATTTAAAGGCGGAGTTACAGAGAGGGAGGGAGATCTTAACACAGAGAGAGAGATCTTCCATCTGTTGTTTCACTCTCCAAATGTCTGCAGAGAGCAGGGCTGGGCCAGGCAGGAGCCAGGAGCTGCATTGGGATCTCACACCGGTGGAAGGGACCTAAGGGTGTGGGCCAGCGCTGCTGCTTTGTCAGGTGTAGATCTAGCAGAGAGCTGGATGGAAGGTGGAACAGCCGGACCTCTCAAACTGGCCCGATATTGGGATGCCAGAGTCACAGGAGATGGCTTACCTGCCTGTGCCTGCTCCAGAGTCCCTGTTTGGGGAATCAACACCTTTGGTTGTGGAAGAGTTCACTGTCCTGGGAACCATCCACCCTGTTGGTGACTTTGTCGTTGACCTGTGTTTGGGACCAGCCTCAATTGCTTCTTTAACTCTAGGGAGTTCTATTTCACAGGCTCATTTGAGTCTCGGTCCTGGCTATTCTGTGTGTTTGCCCTTTACCAGGAAGTTCTTCTTTCCGTGAAGTATGATTTTAAGTGGCATAAGATTCCAGAAATGGGGCCCAGCATGGCAGTCTAGTGACTAAAGTCTTCACCTTGCACGCACCAGGATCCCATCCAGCTCCCTGCTCATGGCCTGGGAAAGCAGTTGACAATGTTCCAAAGTCTGGGACCCTGTACCCGTGTGGGATACCTGAAGAAGGCTGCTGGCTCCTGGCTGCAGATTAGCTCAGCTCTGGCCGTTGCGGCCACTTGGGGAGTGAATCAGCAGACAGAAGATGTTTCTCTCTGTCTCTCCTCTCTGTGTATCTGACTTTCCAATAAAAATAAATGAATCTTAAAAAAAAAAAAAAAAGATTCCCGAAATGGGACACCACTGAGCATCTGACACCTGCTCTGTCACCTGCTGTGTGGCCTTCAGGTGGTCTTTCTATCTCTTCAGTTTCCTCATCTGTACAGTGCGTATCACGGTTGTGTCTATCACAGGGGGCTGCTGTGAGGATGGGTGCCTGTCCTGCAGTACCCCCAGGCCGTTGAGTGGTTGGTTTTCTCTGTCATTAGTGGTGCCTCTCTCTGGGAAGGCAGTGTGTAACTCTTGGTGAGACAGGATTGCTGTGAAGTTAATGAGCAGTCATAAAAGCAAGCTATTTCCTTAATCATGGCCCAACATCTGAGGATTTTTCCAGAAATGAGCTGCTTGTTAGGTTGCTTTACTTGGGTGATAACTAACTGGCTAGGACCCTCGGAGCATGCCCCACGTCAGGGACCTGGGATGGGTGGGACACTTTGTGGGGCTTCTCCCTTACTATTCCCCCTTACCTCAGATACATGAAAGAAACAATGTGGAAATCATAGTCTTACCCACTTTCCTGTAGCCCTTGAACCTTTTTATCCTAATCAACTATGTAAAGATTGTCAGAAATATAGTTAAAATAATAATAATTTAAAAAAAAACCTGACTGGCTAGAAGCACCTTGATTACTTTTTCCTAAGTGCATTTAAAAATAAAAGCTTTACTGTATTTTATTGTATTTGTTTGAAAAGCAGAGTGACAGAGAGAGGGAGAGAAGGAGAGAGACCTCTATTCTGCTGGTTCACTCTGCAAATGGATGCAGTGGTTGAAACTGGGTGATGCCAAAGTGAGAAGCCTGAAATTTCATCTGGGCCTCCCACTTGCAGGCTAGGGACCCAAGGACTTGAGCAATTTTCACTGCTTCCCAGGTGCTGTTGGGAAATGGAGCAGCTAAGATCCAAACTGATATTCAGGTGGGGTGCCAGCATTGCAGGTGATGGTTTAGCTAGCTGTGCCATGACGCTGGCTCACACTGGCCCCAGATGTGTTTTCTTATTAGGACCAATAAAATATATAAAGGGTTAGGCTGCTGTCTATGACACTAGAATCCCATATGTGTGCTCATTTGAGCATCAGCTGCTCCACTTCTGATCCAACCCTTTGCTAGTGGCCTGAGAAAAGCAGTGGAAGATGGCCCAAGTGTTTGGGCTCCTGGTATTCACAGAGGTGACCTAGATGAAACTCCTCTTGGTTTTGGTCTGACCTAGTTCAGACCGTTGTGGCTGGCCATTTGGGGAGTGAGCCAGCACATGGGAGACCTCTTCCTCTGTCTCTCCCTCCTTTGTAATTCTCACATTCAAATTGAAAATTTTTTAAATTTTATATTCCAGTCCTTCCAGAAACAGGAATTGGGTAAGAAAGATCCAAATTTTTATTTAGATAAAAATAAAAAGAATCTTTCAAAAGTTAAACAGAATAATTTCTAAAAAATTTTTTTGTGTGATTTTTGAATGTTTTTTATTTTCTTGAATGGGAGAGTGATGGAGAGTGAGAGATCTTCCACCCACTAGTTCAGTTGCTAAGTGCCTGCGATAGCCAGGACTGGGCCAGGCTAAAGGCTTAAGTCAAGTATACCATTTTGATCTTGCTATATGTATGTATGGATTGCTGGGACCTAAGTATTTGAGCTGTCCACCAGTGTTGACAGAAGGCTAGATGAGAAACCAGGTAGCTGGTTCTGATAAATGACTTAGGCATCTCAAGTGATGGTTTAAGCTACCAGGCCATGACAGCTGCCCCCTGGTTTTCATAGTATGTACACTGAAATATGCAGCTCTGTCTTGGGAGTTTATCTTCACTCACAGAACAGAGCTTTTTGCCTCCTAAAATTCTTGAAGCATTAATTGTCCATTGTCACTTTTTATCTGAGCTTTTGTTGGCTTCCAAATTCTAAAGCATTGACTATAGATACAGCAAAAGAGGAAACAGAACTAGCCCTGGTGTAAATCTCATAGGACTATTTTTTCTTCAATACTTTCAGTTTTCTTCATGCATTAAGTTCTGTCATTCTTAAAGGAGTAGAATCTAGGAGTTTCTACAACTTCTCAATCTTTTAAAAATTCAGCTTTGCAACGTGCCTGGGAAATGGATTCATAATGACATTGTGTAGCCGCTTTATACAACTGCAAAGCAAATTTGCTGAATGTGGTTAAGAATGAAATAGAGGTAATGCAGTTATGAGGAAATTCCTATCTCGGTCTTGAAGCTGTGTCCACAGAGATGACAGACTTTGTGTTATAATCTTAGGGAAAGTTGTGAAAGTCTTGCTTCAGAGATTTGAAGACAGTATGAGCAAACCACAAAAAAGAGATAGGTTTGCTTTGAAATGTGTTCATCATCCTTGCAGATGCAGTAATAATTCTGGCAAAAGGTTATGTTGGATTACTTAACCCAATAGTACTCTTTTTAGAGAGATTTGTAAATCTAAGACCTCCAATTTTTTTTTTAAGATTTACTTCTTTTTATTGGAAAGGCAGATTTACAGATATACAGAAAGAAAGATCTTCTGTCTGCTGGTTCACTCCCCAAGTGGCCACAATGGCCAGAACTGAGCCAATCTGAAGCCAGGAGCCAGGAGCTTATTCCAGACCTTCCATGCCAAGGCTCAGGGTTGTCCTCAACTGTTTTCCCAGGCCACAAGCAGGAAACTGGACAGCAAATGGAGCAACCAGGACATGAACTGGTGCTCATATGGAATCCCAGTGTGTACATGGAGAAAATTTAGCCAGTGGGCCATTGGGCCAGTCCCAAGGCCCCAAATTTTGGATTTATAATTATAAATTGACTATTGATATGCTGTGAATTTTTTTAAAGATTTATTTTTACTTGAAAGGAAGATTTATAGAAAGGACACATACACACACTAAGTAAGAGAAAGCGAGAGAGAAATCTGACATCTGTTGATTAGCTCCCCAAATGGTTACAGTGGCTAGAGCTGAGCTGATCCTAAGCCAGGAGCCTGTTAAGTCTGGGAATGAAGGACAGTGCTTCTTACAGTAAAAGTTTAAGAATATTTGTGTAAATCTGTATTTGGGAGACAGAAGTAGGGAGTGAGCAGACTGCCATCCAGTGGTTCACGCCTGATGCCAGAAGCCTGGAACTCACTCCAGGTCTCCCATGGAGGTGGCAGGGAACCAGCTATCTGTGCTGCCATTGTTGCCTCCCAGGGTCCTTACATCCTCAAGTTCCAAAGGGACAGCCCACAGTGTCCACAGTTTATGCAGCGGGGAGCCTCTAGCTCCCCTCTTGCCTTCAGTCCTCTCCCCAGCAGCCTGGGGGCACTTGCGAGAATAAGCCTCCCCTCGGCAAAAGTCTTGGGCTGCAATGTCTGGACAGAGCTACAGTCACAACCCTTACTTACAGTTCTGTTGTCTGGAGATGGGTTAGTTCATGAATCAGTTGTTTTCCTGGTGACTGATGTAGAGTCTGAAGCAAATTGGAAAGCCAAAGAGCAGTTGACCCAGAGCACTTTGAAAGGGAAGTGCAGTGCCAGTGTACACAGGGAAAGAAAGACTGCCCTGTGGGCATATACAAGGGCAGCACTTCAAGAATCAGAAGCATTGAATTATTTGCCAAGTCCCGCCTGGAGAGACAAATTTGATTTGATTTTTTTTCTGCCTATTCCCCTCCCATTTAATTCTACCTTTCTGTCTTTTTTTCTTTGTTTTGGTTCCTCTTACTTACTGAATTATACATTGCATTGTTCAGAGTTGAAAATCACTTGCTCTTTCATAAATAAAATCCTAATATGAAAGCATGATTAAGCCACTTACAAGTAGTGCACAAATTATTTCTAAGCAGGATTAGGCTTTTATTTCTTTTTTGGCTAAAAACGGTGAACTCGGAAAATATTTGTCTGCATACACAAACAAATACAAATTTAACCTGGATTTATTTTTATTTGAAAGATGAATTTACAGGAAGAGAAGAGGTCTTCAATCATCTGGTTCACTCATAAAATGGCTGCAAAGACTGGAGCTGGGCCAGTCCAGAGCTGGAAGTCTGAAGCTGCTTTTGGGTCACCCTTACGGGTGCTGGGGCCCAAGGATCTGGGCCATCTTTCATTGATTTTCCAGTTCCAACAGCAGGGAACTGGGTCAGCAATGGGACAACAAGGACTCGAACCGGTGTCCATAAGGGATGCTGGCACTGTAGGCAGATGCTTAATGCACTGAGCCATAAATCACTGGCCCAAAGATGTTTGAGTTTTTACATAAAAGTATAACAAGGAAGAAACTCTGTTTTTAGACAGTAATATTTCCATTCATTTAATAAGTGCTGATTAAGTGCGTTGCTTGTGAGGACAAAACTCTTCCAAATGTCTGAATCCCAGTTTCCACTTTCACACTTCTAGAGCAGATGTCATCCAAGATCCTTACCCTTGGGATTGGATAGACGTGGGCTGAGATGTGTGCCAGACCTCTTACCCAACCTTGAGGACATATGTGAGCACTTGGATTGTTTTAGACCAACTTCTGTAAATGAATGTTCTGGAAAACTTGGTTTTCATTGAAACAACATGTTACTCGGTGAGCTGCAGTGCTGTAGGTGTAGAACAGCTAGCAGATGTGGTTCTGGCCTTCGCAAAGTCTATATAAAGCTAGTTTTGGGATTCGAGTTCTTTGTCTTTTTACATTGTTAACTCCACTACCGTCACTACCATGGAGATGTTTTTTAGAAATATAAGATGGCTGAAACTGTCAAAAGAGGTTTAAGGAAGCCCAACAGCAGCATGGGTATTTTAGGGAAATAAGAAAGGGTGGTAATGTGAGAAACCATTGAGGGATGGAGGACATCCTCTGGGGATAGGAGAGCCGGTGTTGGGCTTCTTTCTCCAAGCACATACCACACTGAGCAGTGCGTGTTCCACACGGGGAATGCCTGGGGAAAGCTTTGCTCATGTGTAGAGGTACACGGGGATCCAGAAGCACACAGCTTTACAGAAGCTGTAGCAGGTTCAGTTTGCGGGTTTCAGGAAAGGACCAGAATCTCGCATTGTGAACAGAACTGAAAGAGGCTACCAGCCCCCAGCTTCCTGCTCTCTTTCCCAGTTCCTCTCTGCGGCCACTCCCAACACAGCTCTTTCAGGCAGCTTTTGCTTTTTGCTTTCTTCTTCTTCTTTTTTTTCCCCCAGTGTTGTTGATTAAAAAACAAAACAACAACAAAACATTTTTTTTTGAAAGAATGACAGAGAAAGTAAGATACCTTCCATCTCTTGCTTCATTCTCTCAATACAGTAACAGCAAGGGCTGGGGCCAGCCCAAGCCAGGAGGGATGAACTCGGTTTCCCACATTGCTGGCAGGGACACAGCCACGTCTGCCACTCCCTGGGCGCTTTAACAGCATGGATCGCTGGAGCAGAGCAGGAGGCAGGACTTGAGCCCAGGCACTCAGGAATGTGGGCGTCCCAAGGCAGGCCTTAAACCACTGAGCCACAAACCTGGCCCTTTTGTTTCTTTGTAATGAGCCATGCCTCTGCAAATCCATGCCAAGTTCAGTGCAGGTGAGGGCAGAAGGGAATGTGCTGAAAGAGCTGTTGACCTTTGTGCTCACCAATATATTTAGAAAGCCAGTCACTGTGCTTAGGAGGAAGAGAAGGGAAGTTTCCATGGACATTACTCAGAGCGATCAGTTTGTGGGCCATGGGCCTCATTACAGCGGGACAGTGGGAATCTACTGACAGCATCACTTCCACTTACCTGTTGCTGAAGAAGAAAACTGCCATTATGGTCATGCTTTTACTAGGTAGATTGATTTAGTCCTATTCAGACAAGTTCTTTAAGGCTCAGCCTCTCAGCCTAACCAAGTCCCAGGCCACCGAGCCAATGTACCATAATATTTTTATAGGAGTACTTATTTTATTTGAGACACAGAGAGACAGATCTTCCATCTGCTGGTTTACTCCTTGAACTCCTGCAAGAAGTTGGGGCTAAGAGCTGGGAACTCAGCTTAGGTCTCAGACGTGGGTGGTACAGACCCAAGTACTTGAGCTGTTGCCTGCTGTGTGTGAGGACATATCTTACTAGGAAGCTGGAATCAGGAACAGAGCCAGGATTGGCCCCAAGCACTTGGACATGGAATGTGGACATACCATGTAGTATCTTAATCTGATCTTAAATAAGATGTAGTTTCAAATGCTTTATTTGAGAGATAATCTTGGCATCAAAACAACCACAACCCCCCCAAAAAAACCCTTGATTCAGTTAGGAGTATTGCCCAAGATAACAGTTTGTAACTAACCTGCTTCTAATCTCTTAACTACTTATACTCAGTACACCTCAAACTAAACTTGTCTTCTGTCCTACAGCTACTCCCTAACTGCTTCCTCTCTCAGTGAGTGACCGAACATCCACCCCTTGAGTCCCAAAGCAGAAGCCAAAAGTCATTCTGGCCTCCTCTCAATTTTTCAAGAGTTATTGAAAGATATGGTAATGGATCAGCTGGCTCACTCCCAAAGCCCACCCATATCTAAACCGGGAGCTGAGGGCCCATCTGGATCACCCAGTTGAGTGGCAGCGGCCTAAGTGTTTGGGCTGTCTTCATTTGCTTTCCCAGACACATTAGCAGGGAGCTGGATCTGAAAGAGTCGCTGGGACTGGAATTTGTACTCTGGGATGGGAGCCTGTGTCTGATGACTAACCTGAATGTAACACTTTGTTTTCAGCAGAGCAGAAGTGCAATGCTTTCTCAGAGAAAAAGTTGTGAATTATTTTTGCAAATATTTACTGAGTATTTGTGATGGGCCAGGTATTATACTAACGCATTCAGGAAACCACCTCTGGCCTCAAGGAGTTTGTAGTCTGTGGAGCAGGAGCAGACCTGGAAATTACCAAGCCACAAGTAGGAAGGTGTAAAGGACATGTTGACAAGGGAACCCCTGCAAGGGGGCCGCTGCTTCCTGATTCTGAGATTGCCAGTGGTTGAGGAGAGGAAAAAAATAGTGAATGCAAACAAGAGGGGTTGACCTAGTTCATCACAGTTGGAGAGCCACATGTAATGATTTCTGGACCACAAAGTGCCTAATGTGACAATGATGACACTGGTTAGCTAAGCAACTATTTGGCCTTCTTGACCTGGTTTATAAGCCGTTACTTTTTTTTTTTTTTTTAATTGGAAACAGAATCCGTTGATGGATTGTTGGGCTTTTTGTTTGTTTTTGTTTTTACTTAGCAAGAAAGCTAAGAAAAGCAGTTTACATCTTAAAAATACTGCTCTAGGCAGAGAATGAAGACTAAGCGAAGAGGTGGCATTTATTAGCATAGTGCCTGAGATGTGACTTGGGGTATTGGCGTCCCCTATTAGTATTGGGGCTCTGCTGCTTGCTTCAAGTCTCTTCATGCGCATCCCAGAAGGGAACAGGAGATGCATGTGTGGGTTACTGCACTCACGTAAGAGACTCCTGGCTCCTGGCTGCTCCAAGAATTTGGGGAGTGAATCGGTTTATGGGAAATGTCTCTTTGAAATAATTTTTTTTTAATTTGGCTTTTAAGATTGGCGCAACCTCTACAAAGACATCCTCTGTAATACAGGCTAACTGTGATGCATAAGCTAGCATAGATAGAGATAAGGGTCAGTGTTGTGGTATAAAGGGTGATGCCACTGCCTGCAATGCCAGCAACCCATATGGCCCCTGTTGGAGTCTCTGCTGCTCCACTTCTGATACAGGTCCCTGCTAATGCATCTGAGAAATCAACAGAAGACAGCTCAAGTCCTTGGGTTCCTTCACCCACGTGGGAGGCCTGGATAAAGCTCCTGGCGTCAGCCTGGCCCAGTCCTAGCTATGTAGCCATTTGGGAAGTGAGCCAGCATATGGAAGATTTCTGTCTTTCCTACTCTGTTGAAAGAAACAAAGGGAGGAAGGAGAAGTTGATGGGAAAGATCAGGACATTTTGATTAAACATGAGATATGAAGGAGGGTGGGAGAGAGGAGGCCGGGAATCACCTTGGGTTTCAGAATGAGAGGTGATAAACTCAAAAGATAGAGGTTTAGTTGAAAGAGACTACAAATTATATTTGGGGTATTTTTTTCTTTTTTTTTTAAATTTGGAGTATTTTTAATTTTCAATGCTTAGGAAGGCATCCAGATTGTGTTATCATATGTTCTGAGCTGCATGGGAATTAGAATTTTGTGGAAAATGAAAATAATGTTTATTTTGCAGCCCAGTGCTGTGGCTAATCCTCCCTACTACAAGTACTGGGATCTCATAGGGGTACCAGTCTGAGTTTACTTCCCATTAGCCTGCTTATGGCCTGAGAAAGCAGTCAAGGACGGCCCAAAGCCTTGGGACCCTGCACCCATGTGGGGGACCCACAAAAAGTTCCTGGCTCCTGGCGTTGGATCAGCTCAGCTCCTTGCTCCTGGATTTGGGTCAGCTCAGCTCTGGTCCTTGCAGCCATTTAAGGAGTGAACCAGTGGATGGAGCATCTTTTTCTTTGTCTCTCCTTCTCTCTGTAAATCTGGCTTTCCAATTAAAAAAAATAAGTAAATCTTTTTTAAAAAAAGATGTTTATTTTGTCTCTGAAAAAACTTTGAAACACATGCATACTTTTCTCGTGATATTCATTTTCCATGAACTGTTTGAAAACCCCGCATCTGCGTGGATTTCAGGATGTTTTGCACAGAAAATAAGCATCCTGTAATCCTGTTTTCCATGAACTATTTAAAAATCTCTTCATTTATGACAAAGACTAGCCTGAGAGTGAAAGAAAAGGCAGAGGGGAGCAGATTCCAAAGAAAATAATGACTTTAATACCATGGGAAGAAAGACTTTTTAATTTCTATTCATTTATTTCATTTATTTGAAAGACAAGGAGAGGGACCCAGTACGGTAACGTAGTGGCTAAAGTTCTTGCCTTGCATGTGCTAGGCTCTAAAACGTGCTCTGGTTCTAATCCTAGCTACTCCACTTCCCATACAGCTCCCTGCTTGTGGCCTGGGAAAGCAGTCGAGGATGGCCCAAAGCGACCCTGCACCCGTGTGGGAGACCTGGAAGAAGCTCCTAGCTCATGGTTTCAGATTGACTCAGCTCTGGCCATTGTGGCCGCTTGGGGAGTGAACCAGTAGTTGGAAGATCTTTGTCTCTGCTTCTTTCTGTAAAATCTGACATTCCAATAAAAAATAAATAAATCTTTAAGTAAAAAAAGAAAAGAAACAAAGGGAGTCAGAAACAGAGATCTCCTGTTTACGGATTCAGTTTTCAAGCACCCACAACAGCTGAGGCTGGGACAAGCTGAAACTTGGTCTCCCACGTGAGTGGCAAAGGAAATTATGTTACAGAGGAAACAGCCATTGAATAAAGAGAAGTGAGAGGAGAGGGAGACACAGACATAGCAAGAAGACAAGAACACTTTAGTGCATAGGAGCAGGAAGCAATAGGATGGAATGAAGTTCCTGAAGATAGTGAGAGCATGGGGGCCAGCCTGTGGGTTGTATGGAGGTGGGAAGGGAACCAGAAGGGAGAGAGATGGGTGCGAGTCCAGGGTTTGTGAGGATGGAATCATATAACCAGTAAGACCTGGAGATCATAGGCACCAGTATCCCCTTTCCCTGCAACATGAGAGCCTGATACCGTGTCTGAAGGATTAAGTAGGAGATACAAGATTGGGAGCCCAGGCATGGTAATGCAGGGAGTCACGGCAGAAATTCATTACAAAATCCCCACCCCTGCTCTGTGAACGGGGTGGGCAGAAGCTGCAGCTGCGGCCATGCCTGTGGAGTCCCTCCTTAGCCTGAGCTGACCGCAGTACTTATGCAGCTCTCCTCCGCACCCCTGGCTTTGACCTGATTCTTCACGCTCTGGGCTCATCTCCAATGATGGGGCTTATGGTTTTCCCCCATCGTGACAAGGAAAAACCCTAGTGTGGGATTTCCCAAATGCTAACAAAACTGGCTGGCTTTTAAATCAAATGTGTTGGAATTGTTGGGTTTAGAGAACATATTTGTCAACAGCTCAGCTGGATGGCATTCTATACCTGTTGCCTCTTCTTCCAGGAATCTCCTATGCAACCGCCTACTGGATGAGTGCTCAGAAGACAGTGAAAATCAGAAATGTGTTGGATGTGAATGGGGATGCTTACGGCTTTTACAACGACTCTATGAAAACCACAGGTTGGGGCATCCTGGAAATCAGAGCTGGGTATGGCTCTCAGACCCTAAGCAATAAGATGATCATGTATGTGGCCGGCTTTTTGGAGGGTTACCTCACTGCCCCGTAAGTACCCTGGTTATTGGCAACCTCAGTCCTTGTCTTTGTTCAACTGTGACTCTTGTCTTCCTGGCAGGGTGGTACCTTAGAACCAAAGAGCAGCTGAGGCCCTTTGCACCTGCTAGGAATGTGATCAGTACTACCTTTGCACCTGTAATCAGTGCCTGCTTAAAACATACAAGGCCCAACATGGTGCACTCCAGTTCTCATGGCATCAGCCTCCCTAAAATCTCCCTCCTATTTTATCCCTCTCTTAAAATACATCTGTGTTCTAGCCAGTTAAATACAATGTAGCCCAACCTTAGTTGGGCCGTGACTACCTGAGTCATTCAGTGAGGTGTGGATCTTCAATTATTCCTGGCATTGGTCCAGGCTAAAGTCAGAAATCTGGAGCTTCTTCTAGGTCTCCCAGATAAGTGACATAAACCCAAGAACTTGGGCCATCTTTCACTGCCTTTCCCAGGACATCAGCAGGGAGCTGGATCAGAAGTCTAAAAGTTGGGGTACAAATCAGCATCCATTTGGGGTGAGATGATGGCATTACAGGTGGTAACTTTACACTTTACCCACTACCACAATGCTGGCCACTCTGCTGTTATTTTTAATACCCACTTCTTATTACTCTGTCTCAAAAATACCCCTAATACCATACTATTTAGTAATATATACATATATATATGAAACCTTAACATTAGACTCTAAAGACCATATTATTAATGTAAAAATCATATCTTTTTATCCTCCTCTCTCGATCTTTGTTGGCTTGTCTGTGTGCTGAGTGCTGATCGTGTTATTTAAATGGGATTGTAAGTGTAGAGGCATCAGATAGATGGAAGTTGTGTGAATACAGAAAGATTGGGTGAACGCAGGATGATACCCAGTGGGTCGGGAGGGGAAGCTGGTGTGGAGGGAGCAGTGCTAACCTGTGGGAGCACTCTGGGGACGCCTGTGCGTTCCTGGGACAGTTCAGTCGGCGTTGTTGTGGGAGACACTGTGGAGTTCAGAGAACATCTGACCTAGGCTGCAGTTCTGATGTTGCCATGTTTCACAAGGTGACCTGTCTGGTCATCTCAGTAGAGTAAGCGTAACATCTTGTCGCAGCCACACTTAGCTTAACTTTTGTGACACGGCATTAAACCATCTTCCAGTCACTCTATCCATGCACCCAAAGAATTTGTAGAAAAAGGAACCATTCTACCAATATCTTGAAAAAATACTTCTCTACTAGAAAAAAAAGTGAGCATTATTTCTTTGAAAACAGCTACTGTTTAGCAATGTTTTCTTGTTTAACTTTGTTTTTTTCTCCATGGCCTACTAAAGAAAATTTGATAGGCACAGGTTAGTGTTGAAATATGAAAAATAGATAAAAATTAGCAAATCACTTCCTACCAATTATGCTTTGGGTTTTGAAAATCTCAGAGTAGTAATAATAGCATCTAAGGAATCAGCAGGAGTTAGGGGGAGATAAGTCTGTATGGTGACCTCAGTTATAGGTATATAAAATGTATATAATATATATGATATATATTATGTATAAACTAATTTACAGAGAGTCAGGGGAGGAAGTGAGTTCCTCTCCAGTGGACTGACTGCACCAGTGCCCAGGAGCTGTGAGCTCAGCCCTGGTCTCCCACATGGGTGGCAGGAACCCAGGGACTTGAACTTTGGGGGAGCTGTCTCCAGGGTGTGCATTAACACCAACATGTGAGTGGAACTGGAGTCAGGGCTTGAAGCAGGCCCTCCCAACTTGTGATGTTGTCATCCATCCTAAGCACCATTTTAACTTGTGTTCCAAACACCCACACCAACCCAGCATCACACTGGACCCCAACAAAAAGATTGTCCCACATTTGACCACAGCTTTGCCACACAGAGCAACCACGGAAGAGTTCTTTAACCAGAACGCAGGAGCAGAGAGGGCATGGCGCCACAGTGGTGACCCAAAGGTGGCTGGTGAAAGCTGTGAGCTGTGGGTCTGAGGCTTGACCACTAGACCCGTTTGGTATGGCTGGGAGGAGGCGTAAAGTCATTCTGGGCAGGTGATGACCAAATGAGTAGTGAAAGGAGGCCCTTGAATCTGAAATGTGTAAAATGAATTCCTATGAGCAAGGCGTTGAGGCTGTGCCTGAGCAAACGGAAGACAGCATGGTTGAAGAGTTATGTTGTGTAGGCTTGGGAAAGGGGTGCTTGTTCTCAGCTGCCCTATTCAGCACTCAAGGGGTTCTGTACCACATGGGAGTGCCAGGGTCTGAGTCTCAGCTCCAATCTTCATTCCAGTTTCCTGCTAGCACACGCTCTGAGAGGCAGTCAGTGATGGCTCTAGTACTTGGGCCCTGGCACTCAGTGGATACCCAGCTTGAGTTACTGGCCCAGTCCTGGCCATCGTGAGCATTTGAGGAGTTAACTAGCAGATAGGAGGTGCTTCAGATGCTCTCTCTATTTCCCTTTTAAGTAAGTAATAAAAATAAATCATGACTATCAGCTTTCAGGGAGCCAAGAGACAGTGGAGGGAAGACACAGAACTTTGGTCTATGAAAAGTTTTGTCGGGGGTGCAGGAAGGGAGGCTGGTGCTGTGACATAGCAGGTTAAGCGTCATCTGTGATACCTACATCCCATCCTGCTGTTATGCTTCCAATCGAGCTGCTTGCTAATGTGCCTGGGAAGGCACTGGAAGATGGCCCAAGTGCTTGGACCCCTGCAATCTACGTGAAAGACATTGGATAGAGTCCTGGGCCCCTAGCTTCAGCCTTGCAACTTGGTGTATGAATTGGCAGACAGAAGATCTTACAGTTTGTTCTCTCTCTCTCTAACTCTACCTTTCAAATAGCAAGTTGGTAAAGTTTTGTCAAGAAGATAACATCTGAGATGAGTCTGGAAGGCTGGCGATTTTTCAGAAGGCAGAGAAGAGAGGCAGTGGGTAGTTCTTGGGACCATGGTTCTGTGAGAGGCTAAGAAGGGGCGAGGGAGGATGTCAGAAAGGTCTGACACAGGCCACTCCTTCTCAGTCCGGGGTCACAGCACAGCTTAGCGACCCATGGAGAGGGAGCGTGTCTATGGGACCTTCAGCATTCTGCAGTGTGTGAATCTGGGGGAGGCAACAGTGGAAGAAGAGACAGAAAGGAAATGAGTGTGAGTCAAGGCAAAATGGTCAGGGAAGTCCCTGAGAGCACCCAACACCTACGTCAAAGTGTGAGCCCGGGCGGGCAGACACAGCTGCATGACAGTGGCCAACACACAAAGCACTTCATTGTTCTTTTGGGCAGTGGGCATGTATCACCAACAAAATGTCTCTGAATAGGATTGATATGGGTGAAAACATCTTTCCCTTCTGTTTTTTTTTTTTAAACTTGCACTTATGCTAATATATAATAGCTTTATTACCTTTTTTCTTTGAAAGACAGAGAGGCGCACACTTGACTTAGGGGTTACAATGCCACTTGGCACACTAGTGTTCCATTCGCAGTATCTGGGCTTGAGTCCCAGTTCCACTGCCAATTTCAGCTTCATGCTATAGTTCGCCATGAAAGGCAGCCTGCAATGGCTTCTCTACTTGGGTCTTTGACACTCAAGTGGGCAACCTAAGCTAAATTCTAGGCTCAAGGCTTCTGCCTAGTTCAGCCCCTGCTGTTGTGGACACTGGGGGAGTAAACCAGCAGATGGGAGAATTGTTTCTCTGTGTCTCCCCCTCTACCAAATAAATAAAAACAAATAAAATTTTAAATACACAGAGAGGTGTTCTCTTCCACTGGTCCAACCCCCAAATACCTGCAACAGCTGGGGCTACCCTATACTAAAGCTAGGAGCTGGGAATTCAATTCAGATCTTCCATGTAGGTTGAAGGATCCCAAGGCTATTGCCACTGCCTCCCTCTCTCTGTATAACTCTACTTTAAAAAAATTATTTACTTGAAAGATTTACAAAGAAAGAGGAGAAAGAAATTTTTTCCTGCCAAATGTCTGCAACAGCTAGAGCTGGACCGGTCCAATATCAGGAGCCAGAGGCTTCTCCTGGGTCTCCCACTGAACCAATCCAATATCAGGAGCGAGAGGCTTCTCCTGGGTCTCCCACAGAGTGCAGGGGCCCAAGCACTTGGACGGTTCTCTGCTGCCTTCCCAGGCACATTAGCAGAAAGCTGGATCAGAAGTAGAGCAGCCGGAACTTGAACTGGCACCCATAAAAGATGCCAGTACTGTAGGCAAAAATTTTTACCCAGTAAGCCACAGCTCTGACTCCAGATAAGCTTTTTAAAGTTTCTGGAAAGAATGCTGATGTGGGTGTGGCTGCCTAGCAAGCTGTTGTTTTAATGAGGTGTCTAATCTCTTGGGTTGCTGAGGCAGCAGCTTTACCTGCCCTCCTTGGAATTCCTGTTTGAAGGAGTCATTTTAATGCAACAAACACTTGTTTTACCACTTTGTGCTAGGCTCTGGGCATGGGAATAGAGAAAGGGAGGGGAGTTTGTGCTTCTTCAAAGAAGGTGCCTCCTTTCAAGTTGGTCGGTTGACAACACTTGAAAAGAATATGCTGAAAACAGGTTCTAGCAAGACCTTGGCACAAACAGAAAGCCATTGATGGGGGTGGATGTCCTCTTATGTGCTTGGGCCAACACCAAGGATTTCCTCAAAAATCACCTCCACAGCTCCAGCTTGTTCCTTTTGGTGTTAGAAACCACAGGATAATATAAATACTAAAAATAAAGTTACTTCATTAAAAAAGTAGCACTAGCGGCCAGCATTGTGGTGCAGCAAGCTAAGCTGAGGCTGACGAGGCTGGCATCCCATATCTGAGTGCCAGTTAGGGTCCCAGCTGCTCCTCTTCCAAGTTGCCTTCCTGCTGAGATAGCCTCAAAGGCAGAGGAAAGTGCCCTAAGTGTTGGGGCCTCTGTCACCCATGGAGGTGACCAAAATGGAGTTGCAGGCTGCTGGTTTTTTAAGATTAATTTATATGAAAGGTTGAGTTACAAAGAGGGAGAGACAGAAGCAGAAAGAGCTTTCCATTCTCTGGTTCACCTCCCAAATGGAGGTGATACTATCCAGAGTTGGGCCACGCCAAAGCCAGAAGCTTTTGGGCCATCATCTGCTTCTTTCTCAGGCCATTAGAAGGGGGCTGGATCAGAAGTAGAGCTCTGAGGACTCAAACTGCACCTCTGTGGGATGCTGGCACTGCAGAAGGTAGATTAACCCACTATACCACATAGCATGGGAAATGTTGATGAGTGATTAAAGCTATCTGAAATATAGTTCATATTTGGAGAAAGAAATAAAATTTGTTTTAATGAACATTCTTAGAAAAAACATTCTATAATCTGTAAATCAGCAGACAAATAAGGGATGACAAGTTTCATATGAGGAAAGGAAACATAAAAGGGAGCAAAGGAAAAATAAATGGGAAATATAGAAATAAATACAAGAATATTAAGATCACAACAAATATAAATGGATCATTTTCCTGAATCAGAAAATGTTCACAGCATACGAAATGCTTTCTTTAATGTGTATTTGTCTGAAGGCAGTTACAGAGGGGAAAAGAAAGAATCTTTCATCTACTGTTTCAGTTCCCAAATGGCCACAACAGCCAGGATTGAGCCAGGCCCAACCAGTAGCCTCATCCTGGTCTCCCATGTGGATACAAGGGCACAAGAACTGCTCATATCCTCCTGTACTTTCCAAGGCACATAAACCTGGAACTGCAATGGAGGTAGAGCAGCTGAAATTCAAATCTCTGCTCATATGGAATACGTGAACTGAGAAGGAATGTAAATTAACACAATCACTATGTAAAACCGTCTGGTAGTATCATAATTTGTAGATAGGGGGTTGCATGATGGCTCAACAGGCTAACCGTCCGCCAGCAGCAATCATGCCTCTTCCAATTCAGCTCCCTTCTTCATGACTGAAAGCAATAGCGGCCGTTTCAAATTCTTGAGCCCCTCCACCAAATGGGAGACCCAGAAAAAGCTCCTGTCTTCGGATCTGCTCAGGTCATTGTGGCCATTTGGGGAGGGAACTAGCAAATGAAAACGCTGCTTTGCCTTTCTTTCTGTAAATCAGCCTTTCAAATTAAAAATATCTTTTAATAAAGAAAGCTTGTAACAGGCGATTTCTAGTTAGCAGAAAGGTGGGCTAATTTACTCTGTTGGGAAAATTCAAGAATCGAAACAGAGATGTAACCATTTCCGTCCGTCTTTTCAGGCACATGGCTGATCATTATACAAACCTCTACCCGCAGCTGATCCAGCAGCAGTTCATCCTGAATAAAGTGAAGGATTTCATGGAGTATGTATAAACGCATTCCTTATTTTTTTTTATGTTTCAGAGTGTGAGAGAGATCACACTGGACCTAAGTGTACCATTTAAGGAGGAGTCTTCATTGGCCGAGCTTGGTGACAGCAGTTCCCACTACACTGCAGGAGCCACTGCTCCAGGCTGCCGCAGTCAGAGGCTTTTAAGCTCTCCACCTCCAGATTGAGAGCCATGCAGTACAGAGTTGCCATGTGCAGGAAGCAGGAAGAGAGATATCAAAGCCCAAAGATTTCCTGTTAATTAACCTAACCTACAAGTACAACAGGAGGCAGCAGGGGCCAAGGGTAGGGAGACTGGGGCAGTAATTTCCTCGCTGTCAGTTGTTATGAATGGTGCGGAAGGAGCCGGGCATGAAGGAGAAACCTCCAAGGCTGGTTTTGCATCTTCAGTTAGCTTGAGTGGAGCGAGAGGAGGTAGGAAGGGCAGGGTCTGGAAACATCATTTCCGGGCTGTCTGCTGTCAACCTGTCAAGCCGATGCTAGCTATCAACCACTGCACCCCATTATGGGGGTCTGTGACTGTGATCTCAAACTACAGTTTTCTTCTTGCCAATTTCCTTTTCTAAATCCTTAGTAGGATTCTAGAGTTATTCTTGTACTAGGGCATACTATTTGTTGATAATAGCATGAAAGTTGGTGTCTAATTCGAATTTCTTCAAAGTTGAGGTTGAATGTAGCTTTATCAGGTGTTATCACTGATACAAAGTTATAGTGATTCATCCCATATCAAATGCAGAGTACTCGAAGAAGACTGAATGGAAAGACAATAAAAACAGAGGCTCATTTTCTAAGCATTCCAGGACAGAGAGATTGAGGATGTAAGAACTGAAAGAGAATGCACCATGCGAATGAGAAAAGATGTGCAGGTGAAATATAATCATATATAAACCACTTTGTCCTGGCGAATTATGCTTCCTATTGTTTATCTTTGCAACTTCTACGTACAAGTACATTAGATACAAGTGTTTCACCTTTATTGACTCGGTAAGACCTGATTTGACAGAAAACCAGTGCATTTATCCCTGACTTGCAGTATTACAGGAAGATAAATGTCACACTTACATTGTTTGTAAATGGAGTACAGATGAAACGCTAGAAGAATATTCTAGTCCTCAGGAGAAGGTATAAGTCATTTAGGATTTGTCTTCAACTCCTTTGGCAGGAATTTTACAATATGGAAATGATACCCGTGTTTCTAGCGTCTGAGTATATAATCTTTAAAAGTCTAATTTGATTTGACTCTGTGTGAGCAACTGCTAAGACCAATTTCTCTCCTAGGAAGCAAGATCAGTGGGCCCGGGAAAATGCCAAACAATACAAAAATGACTCATTTTGGAGACACACGGGCTATATTTTGGCGCAGTTGGATGGGCTATATGCAGGAGCCGTTCAGAGAGCCACGTCAGATGGGACAAAGGTAAGATTTGTAAGAAGCTCAGAATGTCTATGGAATAACAATAATCTTAAAGATTGCCTTTAATATTCCTATTTAGAAATGGGCTCACATATATGAAAGAAGTCTTCGAAAGTTCATGGAAAAGGAATTATTATAAAAAAATGTATTTTCCTTTCAAGTGAATAAGTAAAACTTTCAAAACAGAAGTCATAAAAGAATGTACACAATGTGATTCTGAATGAAAGAAACTGAAACAGATGTTTTAAAATTTTCACCTATACTGATGTAACAATCCCTAAGTAATCTTTTTATTTTGTTTTGTTTTGTTTTGATTTGATGATGTATTTACTGCCTATGTGATAGCTCAGTAGCTAAACCCTTGCCTTGAATGCACGGGGATCCCATATGGGTGCCAGTTATGTCCTAGCTGCTCTGCTTCCCTTCCAGCTCTCTGCTTGAGTCCTGGGTAAGAAGCGGAGGATGGCCCAAAGCCTTAGAACCCTGCACCCATGTGGAACCTGGAAGACACTTCTGGCTCCTGGCTTCAAATTAGCTCAGCTCCAGCCTTTGCAGCCAATTGGGGAGTGGACCAGCAGATGGAAGTTTTTTTTTTTTCTCTGTATCTCCTTCTCTGCATAACTCTGCCTTTCTAATAAAAAAAAAAAGCCTTAAAGATTTGTTTAATTTTTTGAAAGACACAAAGAGATGAGATGTTCTAGCCACTATTCTGCTCTCCAAATGGCTGTAGTGGCTTGAGCTGAGTCAGACAGAGTCTGAAGTTCCATTCCGAGCTCTCCTGTTGGCTGCAGGGGCTCAAGGGCTTGAGCCATCTTTCACTTCCTTCCTGGGAACATTAGCTGAACCAGAAATAGAACAGCCAGGACTCAAACCAGAGCTCATATGGGATGACTGCATTGCAAGCAGTGGCTTAACACACTCTGCCACAGTATTGGCCCGCCCCAGGAAGATTTTTAAAAATGCACTATTTAGGGTTGGTGCTGTGGCACTGCAGTATAAGCCTCAGCCTAGTATCCTGTATGGGCCCCAGTTCGAGCCCTTGTGGCTCCACTTCTGATCTAGCTACTGCTGATAGCCTGGGAGGGCAGCAGAGGATGGCCCAGCTTTACTGAAAGAGTAAAAAGATAGAAACTTTTCCTGGCAAGCAGAGGAAACAAAATTCCCCTTTATTCTTTCATAAGTTTGATATCATTCTTAATGTTTTAAAAGATTTATGTTTTATTGCGAAGTCAGATATATATAGAGAGAGGGGGAGAGACAGAGAAAAATATCTTCCATCTGCTGATGGTTCACTCCCCAAGTGACTGCAATGTCAGGTGCTGTACCAATCCAGAGCCAGAAGCTCTTCTGGGTCTCCCACGTGGGTGCAGGGTCCCAAAGCTTTGGGCTGTCCTCGATTGCTTTCCCAGGCCACAAGTAGGGAGCTGGATGGGAAGCGGGCTGCCAGGATTAAAACCAGCACCCATATGGGACCCCAGCCTGTTCAAGGCGAGGACTTTAGCAGCTAGGCCATGGCGCCAGGCCCCACTCTTAATTTTTAACATTAATAGGTCAGTTATATGCAAAAAAAAATTGCCACTGACAGACCTTTAGCTGCTCGGCTGAATGATTACCAATCCCTGATAGTTTGAGAAACCCTTCTGTAGAGGAATATAAACAGAAAGTTCTGTTTTGTTCCGTGGGGCACCATTCCCAAGTGAAAAAAACATGCAGGAGTGGGCAGGGTTGTGCCACAGGTTAAGCTACCACTTGGGGTGCCCACTTCCCATTTCCTCAGAGCCTGCATTCTACCTCTGCTCATCCGGCTTCGTGCTAATGTGCAGTGAGGGGTAGCAAGTGGTGGCCCGTGTGCCTGCCGCGATGGGGGGGTCCTGTTTGCTTCTTGTTTCAGCCCAGGCAAATCCTGGATGTTGCGGGATTTGGAGAGAGGAACCTCCTTTTGTTGCTCTTCCTTTAAAATCAATCAATCAAACCTTTTTTTAAAAAAAAATTAAGTGCTACCTTTGTCTGTGCAGCCCATGTCCATGTTCCAGATTCAGTTTCTGAATGCTGTGGGGGATCTGTTGGATCTGATTCCTGCGCTTTCTCCCATAAAAAGCACCAGCCTGAAATTTTACAAGAGATGGGACATGGGACACTGCTCTGCTCTCATCAAGGTAAGAACCAGCCTGTTTTCCTCTTTTGGGCCACATGTGATTTTTCTAGTTGTCATACTGTAATGGTGACACCTCACCATGCCTGGCTGTCTGTCAGCTCCTGAGCTCCATGGTTAGAAGAACCGGAAGAGATTTCACAGGAGGAATTTGAAGTACATGATGGGACTCCTGTTTCTGCAGCCACGCATCCCATTCTGAACACACCTGCCACTTCCAACCCGGATGTTAGGACAATCTGTCGGCACTGAAGATTAACGTTGCACTTCTGGGCTGTGTTCTCTATTTCCCTGAACTGACACCATCCCTTTATACTCCCTATGCTTCATGATGTCGGCAGTTCAATATACATCACTGGGATTCTGGTTACAGGTTCTTCCTGGGTTCGAGAACATCATTTTTGCCCACTCAAGCTGGTACACGTATGCGGCCATGCTCAGGATATACAAACACTGGGACTTCAACATTGCAGACAAAGAGACCAGTAGTACTCGCCTCTCTTTCAGCAGTTACCCAGGTAAGTACATTTAGAGGGACACCTTGATTCTCTGTTACTCCAAGGTAAAACCTTGATGATTTGAAGTTAGCTGGAAGGCAATGTGTGAAACATGACCACTAAAGTGACACAACACTCTGTGTCTTCCTGTTCCAGCCAGAACCCTGAAGGGATCATTATTGAATAAGGATTATCAGAAGGGCACCCCATAAACTGTACTCCAGGCACAGTAGTAATCCTTTGAAGTCACCAGCATTGCAAAAGCACCTGCTGCCTCAGTACCCTCAGAATTACTGACATCAGTCTCCTGTGTTTCCCAGAACCTGGGCCATGCCCTAAAACAGACTTGATTGACGGGAGGGAGGGGCGGGCAGTGGAGGGATGTTATCTTCCTTGCTGTTATCAGCTGTTATATAAAGCAGGTTCTAAAGGCTTTCCGAGTCACCTTCCTTAGAGTGGCCACAGCTTTAGGAAAAAACCTTTTGGCAGGGCTCCTATCTGAGAATGTGGTTCAAAGTGTATTTTGGAGTGGGCAGAGGTTAAAATGCCCCCCTGGGACAACCACATCACATATCAGAGTGCCTCGATTCGGTCCAGCTCCATTCCAGATTTCGTTGTTTGGCTGTTGCTCACCCTGGGAGCCATCTCTCCAGCAGTGGGTCCCTGCCACCCACATGAGTGAGCTGGATTGAGTTGGTCGGCCCTGGCTTCAGCCCATTCCAGACACACCTGGCTGTTACAGGCATTTGAAGGAGTGAAGCAGCAGATGGAAGATCTCTCTATTAGCCTATCTCTGTCTCTCTGCCTTTCAAAAAAAAGTAAAATAAAGTATATGAAAACTAAAGTATGTTGTAAAAGTCACGTACTCATGCGGGGATAGTAATTTATCAGCGAGAACAGCAGGAGGAAAATATCTGGCCTGTGGCCCACCAAGTCATTTGGTCTGAACCTGGTAAGGTTACCACAGGCAGGACTCAAAATTCGGTAATTTGTAAGCTGGTAATTTTGCATGGCCTGTGAATAATGTTATAACTATCTAATGACGCTTGACGGAAAAATGGTTCCCCATTGGAAATGGGCAGAGAAAGGTGGTTATGGATCTGTGTGTTATCTGATCAGTGCATGGGAAGAGTCCTTAGCGTGTCCATGTACCATCTCTCTGTATTCTGTACTATCCGATGCTTTGTGCCACTAGATAAAGGTGGCCATGACTCTGGAACCTGCTTGTACTGAAACAGCCCTGACCTCCTTGCTTCTGCACTTTCCTACTACCAGTTACTTACTGCACTTGTCTCCTGCCATCTGTGGACACTGGCTTCCATCACTGTCTCAGAAATCCCTGTGATGCTTTGCTAATGGTGACCATGAATGCAAGGCTTACCCAGAGCACTAGGAAAGTAAAATGATTGTTTACAGGCAATGTAGTTCTTCCAAATGTGTCTTGGATTCTTTAGGCTGTAATTACCGTCTTCCTAGAACCTGGTCTGTCTTCATACTGACCTCTCCCCTGCCTTCCACACAAAGCACAGGACAGGAGAGAAACCTGTGGGCAGAGATGGAAGAGCTTCCTCAAGCACGCAAGAAGAAAATCCATCCACCTTCAGACTGACCCAGGAGATTAGGAAGCCACCTCACCAACTGGAAGTGAGAGATATGTTTCCAAGGCCTGCTTAATGTTGTAGATCATGAATCCACTGAGGGACGGGCAGGCTCCCCCCAAGGGCCTGACATACAGTGTCCAGCCTGTGTGGATGAGGGTGCTACTATGTGGGCCAGCAGTTGAGTGCACAGTGTGAAGTGCACCTTTGGGTGCAGTAGGAGGCCAGAGTTAGCTGGAGCAGGAACCACAAACCCCGTGAAGCCCAAGGATGGGCATGTGAAGTACCTTCACACATATATACTAGCTTTCCATTGATATGTAGCAAATTACTTTGAAAACTTATGTCTTAACACAATGATCCCTGGTACATAACAAATTACTCTAGATATTTACTGCTTAAAAACAATAATCCCTTAGTGTCTCATGAAGGGATTTAGACAGGGCACAGCAGGACGCAACTGAAGATCAAGGTGACCACGTGACACTCACCTGACAAACTGACCCCTCTTTCCCCGAATCCTTCCTCAGTATTGCCTAGATGCCCTCGTGAGAGGGTACCTGCTTTCCTCAGACCCTCAGGTCCAAAAGCACCAGGAAGTAAGAACAGTACCTATTGTGAGCCAGTCCCAGAAGTCACACTGTCGCCTGGCCACATGCTAGCCATCAGAACCAAGGCATTATGACTAGTTCATGTTCAGAGAAACAAAATGAGGATCCTTTTTTGAAAGAGAAAAATGCCAAAGAATTTGTAGAAATCTAACAGCTACAATATAGAAATGTTTTATAGTTCTATTTATTTATAATTATTACTTTAGAAATCATAATTACAAATTGCAAATTTATACTTATCACTTTATAAATTTATATTACTTTATTAATTACAGTATATTTTATGAATTATATAAATTTATAAATTATATGTTACTTTATAGATTTACACATTACCTTATAAATAAGTAGCTTAGTTATAGATTCCTTGGGATTTTCTATGTATGCAATCAATTTCAAATTTTTAAAAATTTCTTCCATCTTTAGTGTGTGTGTGTGTGTGTGTGTGTGACTGCATTGGTTAAGAAAGCCTCCAAGGTAATGCAGACTACATATAGTGAGCGTGTAAACTTTTGCAGGAGGTAAAGTTCACCTACAACACTGGCATATATGTGAGTGCCAGTTCCAAGTCCCAGCTGCTCCACTTCCAATCCAGCTTATTACTAACATCTGGGAAAGCACTGGAAGATGGCCCAAGTACTTATACTCCTGCAGCCACAGAGAAGACCTGGGAGAAGTTCCTGGCTTTGGCCTGGCTTAGCCCTCACTATTTCAGACATTTGGGGAGTGACTATCTCTCTCGCTCCTGCTCTCTCTCTCTGAAACTCTGCCTTTCAAATAAATAAGCAAATATATGTTTTGAAACAGACTTCTAGAAAACCTATAGGTAATATTATACTTAGTGGTAAAAGACAAAATTCTCTTACAATCAAGCAGGGAACTGGATGGGAAGTGGAGCTGCCGGGATTAGAACCGGCGACCATATGGGATCCTGGAGTGTTCAAGGAGGGGACTTTTAGCCGCTAGGCCATGCTGCCAGGCCCCTATTCTTCTATCTTTAAATTTACTGATTCTTTCTTCTGCCATCTCAAATTTTCTGGTGAACACTGTAGTGAATTTTTCATTTCAGTTATTGTACTTTTCAGATCTAGAACTTTCATTTTAGTTTCCATTTCTCTGTTAAGCCTTCCCTATGGTAACTCTTAATGCCTTGTTTTCCTTTTTTAAACTCTTTTAAGGGTCTTGTCAGACAAATCAAGCATTTAAGGCTATTTGGTAAAATTCTAGTGACTGTTAAAAAGTATGGATAGTGCTTTCCTGTTTCTTTTAACTTTTGTATATCATTTGGACATTGAAAATAATAATTCTGAGATTTTTTTTTTAAAGATTTATTTATTTTTATTTGAGTGGCAGGTTTACAGGAAGAAGGAGAGACAGAAAGAGTTCATCCATTGGTTCATTTCTCAGATGGCCACAGTGGCTGGAACTGACCCAGTCTGAATTCAGGAGCTGCTTCCAGGTCTCTCATGTGGGTGCAGAGTCCAAAGGACACGGGCCACCCTTCGCTGCTTTTTCAGGCCATCATCAGGGAGCTGGATTGGAATGGAGCAGGGGGACATGAACTGGTGCCCATGTGGGATGCTGATGCTTCAAGGTGGAAGATCAGTCTGTTTAGCCTTTGCGCTGGCCCGCTGTGATGTTTTCTTAATATTGTTTTTATACATAATAATTTGTACTCAAACTTGAAAATGTGTCCTCTTGCAGTATGCATGGCCATTTGCCTTTGCTCAGTGCTTTTTACTTCTAACTTCTGCCTAAACTTGGCCTTCCAGAAGTGGTCCCTGAATTTGTATGGTGTAACTGACAGCCAAGGATATTGGCAGAGCTTGTATTCATAGTTTCAGAGCTAGCCCTGTGATTTCCTTGCGTTGAGAGTCTCCCGTGAATTTCTAATGGCTCTGCTAGCTCTGAAGTTTTCCCTTCTGACAGCTCAGGCATTCCGAGTTGTGTAGGAAGGAATACTCAGACACACATCTCAGCAGGAACAAGTCTGTTGCAAAGGAACAGATGCTGTTGTTGATGCTGTTTTTAACCCAAGGCTTCTTTGTCATCTTCCACACTGATACACACTCAGTAGTCAGTAAGTAAACTGAATTGAGGGTTGGAATCTGTGTTCTGTGATCTTTTGCTTCCAATTTTTTCTTCTTATATTCCCAACTATTGCACTGTGTCAGACTTTGACATTTGCCATCTCAAGCCATGTGGCTAATACAATGTCTTAGTTTGTTAAAACTGCTGTTATCAAGTCCCATAGTCTGGGTAGCTTGAACAACGTACATTTATTTGCTCATGGTTTCAGAGGCTTTACATAAAGTTCCAAGAGCAAGGTGTTGCTGGGTTTGGTTTCTCTGAAAGAGTCTTTCTTATTGGCTTGTGGATGATCACCTTCTCACCGTGTGCTCACCCAGGCTTTTCAGTGTGTGTATGTCCCTGGCCACTCTCTGTGTTCTTACTAGGATGCCAGCCTTCAGAGAGGTCGGACATGGTCTTACCCAGCTTACCTGTTCAGTTTAAACACCTCTCTGAAGGCCCCATCTGCAATGCAGTCATGTTTTAAGTATGGTATCACAACTGTAATGAGAATTTGGAGGGAACACTATGTAGGCCCTAACAGGTGCAGGCAGCACACTGGAGCTACAAAAGCTTAAACTCATTCTTAGCCAGTGCTGTACCAGTGTTCAGTTTCTCTCTGCCTTTGGTCACTTTTCTAGAACCATTCATTAGTTTTAAATAATTTATGCCTTTATTATAATTGCTACTCGTGAGAGATACTGACCATGAATACATATTACTCAAGTGTTTACCACACTAA